CTTCCCCTGGACTCCAGAGGCCAGAAACAAGCTCTTTTGTAGACTTCTGGAACCTCAGAAAGGCCCGTTTCCCCCCCCCCCCACCCTGGGTCTCCACATGACCCCTGCACTTACCTGGCATGATGAACTGGCCATGTGGAGATTTCTGGGATGGGCGGGGTGGGCGGTTCACCAAACTGAGCAGAATACTAGCTAGGGGATCACCCGAACCCGTGCCCTGAGCCGGTGAGATTTGAACCGGCTCAGGGTTGACTCAGCCTTCCATCCTTCCGAGGTGGGTAAAATGAGGACCCAGATTGTTGGGGGCAATATGCTGACTCTCTGTAAACCGCTTAGAGAGGGCTGAAAGCCCTATGAAGCGGTATATAAGTCTACTGCTATTGCTGCTATTGCAAACCCCCAGAAGACTACCCCTGGTTCAATCCCAGCAAAGAATGATTGCTGTTCACCTATAGCAGAAGTTGAGCATAGTATTGCGTCAGGATTAAATCCTTCTCACTGGGAATGTGTAGCTCCTGAGGAAATCCCACTGCAAGGAATAAGAAATATTTGAGGCATCAACTCTCAGGGCCTTCCATCTTTCATATACGTTCATGAGAGAGGAAGGGGGAGAAAGAAGTGAAGAACTTCCCTTACCCACACCTCACTTTTCCTATTGGAAAGTGCCAAGAAAATGCTTCAAGGAAGCCCTTTGAAACTGTGTCTTGAGCCTTTTTTGTTCCCCTTTTGCTATTTCAACAAGACAGACAAAGATCCAATGAAGCAACTAGCTGCTTCCAAATGCTTCTGCCTTGAAGGCTGACCTCCCATGGAGCCTGGTTTGTTTAGCTCATTGGAAAAGATGAAGAGTAGAAGAAACCTGAGGAGGTGACAGTATAGAGTGCACAGAGCACTCTAAGGTGGAGGCTACCTGGAGGGTAGCATTATTTCTGAGTGAAAAAGCACAGTGGGACAGAAATCCTCCGGAATTCCCTGTTTCATGGTTCTTCAGAGCCTTGCAACAGAAGAACAAGAGCAGAAACAATCTGAGACTTTAGTTTAGCCGGCTGGAATGTGAGGTCTAGAAAGATGTGAAGTTTTACTCCCTAGTTTATACCTTTCAGATATTAAAACAATTCCATATATTAAATTATTTATGTCTGGTTCTCAAAGAATTGATATTATAAAAAGAAAGGCAAACACCCTTTGTTCTAATTTTACAGGACAGAAGAAGAAAAGAAAGATTGGATTCAGGTAATATCTATTTTATCAAGGTTTTTTTCTTGCTTCGCTCTGTGCTGCTGAAGCAATTGGGTTTTCCCAGGGCACTGTGCATTTGCACTGCATAGCACAAGCAGTTGTGGCTTCCAAGGATGGCTGTGGGTTCACACTGCACTAGGTGGGTGGGAAGACCTGGAGGCAGTCCCTTATCTTACTGAGTCTAAGGGCTGGGAAGGAACAAGTCTGTAATTGCATGGATTGGGGTGGGTCCTCAGCTAATAATTGGCAGAATGATATGATGTGACATGACATATGTATTATAATAGTTTATATATTATAATACATAGTTTATATTATTATATTTAAGAGAGATCCTCTGTAAAGGAGATGGGTGATATGAAAAATAAATAAAATAAATATACATAAACATCTCACATTAAAAAATATATGTCAATGTATTATTTATCCCATTTCTACGCTCTCACCTAAGATTAGATTATAATTTTTTCCCTTTTTCATGCCTTCCACTGCTTTGAGTTGTGTCTCTTTCATAACTTTTTCTTCCTTTACCTTGCTGGAGTCTTTCAGACATCGCATCTCAATTGGAGTCCACACTCTGGAAATTGAGAATCGGTCAAAAACCATTAGGTTTTTTCAGAGCAGACAAGATTCGTTCACAATATTTGCCTTGGATTAAAATTCATGAGATCATATTTTGCACTAACTCCATTTTCATTGGCAGCCTGGTGTATACATTATTTCAGTAATGCCATTTAACTTTTTAGAATGGAAACAAACAGTTTTCTGAGTTACAATCTCATCTGCTTCCTTCTTCAAGATCCATTATCTCCCTCATTCTTCTCACTAAACAATTCAGATAAACCTTGTATTTAATTAGCAAAAATTATTACCCCCTCATTATCTGCAAGACACTCTGTTTTCTGAATAATTTTAATTTGCAATTTTAGACTTGAACAGGTAAAATTGTGAAACGTTGAAATCTATTAATGATCATTTAAGAAAAAATATTGTGTGTTGTTGTGGTCTAAGTCTTTGCTGAAAATTGTTTTTACTTATTACTTTTCTTTGAAACTACCACAGGTTATTCAAGCAACAATTGAAAAACATAAACAGAACAGTGAAACATTTAGGGCTTTTAATAACTCCTTTTCTCAAGAGGATGAGCACTTCCCAGATTCATCAGTAAGTAATCTAAGCATTTAAGATACATTGTATGGCAGATACACGTTTTCACACAGGAAACAATAGTGAAGAGTTAGGTTATAATGCCTCTTCAGTGATATCATATTCATATTTAGTGGGATCCTTTGACAGGTCTGGATTTCGCCTGCGGGGCAGAAATAAAAGGCTGAAATGTAAGAAATAGGAATTTTAAATTAAATTTTGTTTTGATTTGATTTAGCAGTTGCCAGATTCCAAGTGACTTTAGACAAACTACACTTTAAAAAGTAAAGCACAATAAAATAGAAGTAAAGTACAAATCTATAATACACAAAATAAAAACTGATTGGGTTTAATAAATACTCTAACCAAAGTACTTGGAAATATTTGGAATATTGGGGAATACAAGCCTGGAAAAACAGCTAAGTTTTCAAAGATTTTTGAAATATCAGGGGAGAACCATACAGATCTCTGGGGAGATGCTCTTCCAAACTTATTCTAGGTTATTGTTAATATATGCATACAGTGGTGCTTAGAAGTTTGTGAACTCTTTTTGAATTTTCAACATTTCTGCATATGCATGACCTAAAATGTAATCAGTTCTTCATAGAAATTCTAAAACTAGATAAGAGTACCTAGTTAAACACAGGCATCAAAAAACATTATATTTGTTCATTTATTTAGTTGCATTTTTGCTGCCCAAGAATTTCTGAAAGCAAAGGTTAACATACAGTTATTGGGCTGACTTGTGATGGGTTATTTTATTTATTTATTTGTTTTATTTGTATTCTGCCTTTATTATTTTTACAAATAACTGAAGGCAGCAAACATATCCAACACATTGTCCACCTCCCACTTTCCCTACAACTCAACCCTGTGAAGTGGGTTGGGTTGAGAGAACGTGACTAGCCCAGAATCACCCAGCTGGCATTCATGGCAAAGGTGGGACTTGAACTCACACTCTCCTGCTTTCTAGCCTGGTGCCTTAACCACTAGACCAAACCAAACATTTTTATTTTTAAAAAACTGTTATATATTTTAAATGTTTATTTTGAATAAATAAAATATTTAGAATATTTTATTTAGAATTATATTTCTATTAATTTCTCCAAGCCTTTGAATCTAATTTCAGGATTGATTTGTTCTGATTTGTTTTTGGCTTTCTCGTTATCAGATAGTGAGCACCAGTTCCATGGAATCTATGCCAGGAACAGACAGTAGCAGCAGCACATCTGCAGGGGTAAGCAGTTGTGAAACCGATGCCTCATTAAATGCTTTGTTTAATGGGGCGCTCTCTGTGTGGGTGCATGTGGGTGCGTTTGTGCACGCACATGTGTAGGAAACAGAAACTAGTTTAGATAAGTCGTATTTCTTCCTTCCATTTTACTTACAAAAGCATTTTTGCCATGAGTAAAGGTTATGCTTTGCCTTTTCTAATACAAAGCTTTAACACATACCTGATTTATGAAACCGATAAGCCCTTATTTCCTGTACTTTCTTTAAATGCAGTTTGCTGCACATTCAAGTAGGTACTATAAACCATAGCAATGTACATAGTATATGACAGATGCCTCACGGGCTGCTACAAATTTTCAGTTGCTCAGATACCAGACTGTATTTTTCATATGAAAATCCCCATTTAACTCTAGGCTAAACTGCTCTGCCTAATTCAGCTGCACCAGACTTCCTTATAATTAGGGTTGCCACCTGATAATAGAAATTGTTGCTAGTTAATCAGTTGTGTTTCCGCCTAGTAACTGATCGCCTTATTAAGTCTGTGTAAATCTACATATGAATAGACAGTGCTACTGGAGAGGAAAATGCACCCTTCCCTTTATATTTGCACATGAATGTTGTAGCAGGTGCCACCAGAAAAGAGAAGGGGCGTTTCCTGGAGATAGAAGAATGTCCAGCCAACAATCAGGGCTGGCTGAAGATGCTGTGCTGCCTGGGGTGAAGATGGCTCAACTTAGAATGATATTTTCAGTCTTTGTGGTATACAAGCATTACTGTGTCATAAACGTAGTCTCTGGGATTGCTTCATCCACAATGCTTTGACAACCCTTTCTGACACAGACAGAGATGCTTAAGAGGATAGCTTCTCCTCCCCAATTGAACAAATATAGATAACACCAGCAGTAGAGGACCAATCAGAGATATTTCCTAACTCCCTGGATTATAGTGGTTTTACCACAACCCCATACAAGGGAAACTCAAATTTGTTTAATATTTTGATTAAAAAATAAGCATTTCTCTCTTCTAAGGCACACACATTCTTCTTGCATTTAAATCATTTGAAAGAAAATGAAAATATAACTAATACCTTTATTCAACCAAAGCAAACAAAGATTCAAGCAGTCCTCAACTTACAAGCATTTTGTTTGCAATTGTTCGAAGTTGCAGTGGCCATGAAAAAAAGTGACACATGGTACTCGCTCTTAATAACCTTTGTAGCATTCCCACATCTGTTGAAAGCCTCTGGCTTCAAGTCCCTGGATGTTGAAACCACCTCTTGGGAAACCTTGGCACAAGATCGATTGACATGGCGCATGCTGATCCACCAAGGCTACCAGACATCTGAGGACAGAAGAACAACCGAGCACAAAGAAGTGAGCACACCGCAAAGCCAGAGCTGCAAATGCTGCAACAATGGTGCCCACACCTGTCTGCCCGACATGTGGCAGAACATTTTGTGCCCATATAGGCCTTACCAGTCACCTGCGGACACATCGTGGACGGCCCACAACCTGTTAGATGTCAAGATCCTCTTCGAACACAATGGACAAACATCAGCATTCCCACAACATCATCAAAATTTGATGCTTGGCAACCGGCATGTATTTATAAGAGATGCAGCATCTTAGGGGTCATGTGATCACTATTTGTGAATTTCCCAGATGGCTTCTGACAAAGTCAATGGAGGAAGCAGATTCACTTAATGACTGTGATTCACGTAACAACTGCAGTAATTCATTTAACAACCATGGCAAAAAAGGTTATAAAATTGACATGGCTCACTTAATAATCATTTCCTTAGCAGTGAAAACTGTGGTCTTAGATCAAGCAGGAAACCCTTTAGCATCTCAGACAAATTGGTCTTTTTAAAAGCCTCCAGTGCTGGAGCATCCACAGCTTATGGAGTCAAGTTGTTCCACTGATTAATTGTTCTAACTGTCAGGAAATTTCTCCTCAGTTCTAGGTTGCTTCTCTCCTTGATTAGTGTCCACCCATTGCTTCTTGTTCTACCCTCAGGTGTCTTGGAGAATAGTTTGACTCCCTCTTCTTTGTGGCAATACCTGAGATATTGGAACGTTGCTATCATGTCTCCCCTAATCCTTCTTTTCACTAGACTAGACTAGACATATTCAATTCCTGCAACTATTCTTCATATGTTTTTATGATTTGAATAAGGATTTTAATAAATGATTATTAAATCATTTATATTTATTCATATCACTTAACTAAATATGTGGCTAAGAGAAGTTACTGAAACACTCTGGGTCTACTTTAAGAAACTTTGGCTTGAACTGTAGGAGCAAAGCCCATTTTTTTCTAACCATGCAGGAGTTGTTGATTGGTAGCTGTCTATTCAATTTATGTCTGATCTCAATGGCCTTGGCTCATTTGTGCTAGAAATGGCAGATATATGCAAAATATGTTATAGTTTTTCAGATGCGGCCAAAGGTAAAAAGAAGTATAAATACCCTGAGTTATTTGATCCACACAAATATTAACTTGCTAAGTTTTTAAAAACTTTTTAAAAGTTTTTAAAAGCCAAGAAATTAAAAGACTCTTGCTCCTGGGGAGGAAAGCTATGGAAAATCTATGAAAACCCTGCCAACAAAAGTGTGTACAGTCAAGGCTATGGTTTTCCCAGTTGCAGTGTATGGCTGTAAAAGTTGAACTATAAGAAAGGCTGAGCGCCAAAGAATTGAGGCTTTTGAACTATGGTGCTGGAGAAGACTTCCTGCGAGTCCCTTGGACTGCAAGGCGATCAAACCAGTCAGTCCTAGAGGAGATCAACCCTGACTGCTCTTTAGAAGGCCAGATCCTGAAGATGAAACTCAAATATTTTGGCCACCTAATGAAAAGGAAGGACNTGTGACAGTTTTCCAGCCACACTCACAATCCCTTGCCCCCTTCTCCACCTACCTGCCTGCTGAGAAAGGAAGGGAAGTTGTGATGGATTGTGTCTTTGAAGGGGGAGGTGGTGGACCACAATGAAACAGCACTTTCTCAAGAATAGTAAAATTTCCTAGGGTATATCAGAGTTAAGAGTGTGTAGGTTTAGTCTGGCAAGGTTTTGTTTATATGCTGTGAGCAAATAAAGAGCTGAACTTTAACTGGATTGTTTTACACTATTCTTGGACTAAGCCTAAAGGGAAGGGAGGAAGGAAGATTACTGATGCTCCTACCCTGAGTCCCTCAATAGGGAACCAGCATGAAGTCAGACTCCTGCTCCCAATGCTTTTTTGCCTGCCCTTCATCATTCTGTTTCTCTGTTTAGATAAGGAAATGCCTCTGAAACAATGATCAAACAGCATCTAGTCTAGCAAACCCACAAAATCAGGAATTCAAATCTTTAATTTTTTATATACAGTATATAATATATAACATACATCTAGTAAGCATAGAAGTTTGTTTCTGTCACTATATTCCATTATGTTTAAAAGAGTGGAGCTTCTAGTATGTATTAATTCAAATGGGTTATTGACAAATAATATTTCCTGATATTTTAACAGCTGAAAAAGCAAAATAGTCCAGTGGCCAACTTTAAAAATCATGGTTCAGGGTCACGTCAATAAGCTCAACTAAAGTGTTAGGTTGTGCCCTCAAACATAAAGGTTACTTTTTATTAAATAGAAATAAACAGTTAAACAATCCATGGGTCAAATTTGACTTTTTAAGGGAACTGATGAATTTCTTTTAAGTCACATTTTCTGTTCCAGTATATAGGGTCACATGCAATAGAATCCAGTAAGTATATATCAACGAGGTATCATTTTTTTAGTGACATAGAAGAGAATGAGGTTACGTTTGCATACTGAAACAGCCCATTTTAATCCAAATTACCAATTAAAACACCAATGCTGTTCATTCAATACAATTTATTATGTTTTGACATTTGAGTAAATATAATTTTCTTTTGCTTAATAATATTATGCACTATAGCAGTGGTGAAATTCAATTTTTTAACATAAATCTGTGGGAGCACAAGATGAAATT